CTTTGCCCACTTCCACCCAGCCCCCACCACCCCTTCCCTCTGGCCATCCCCACACTGTTGTGTATATCCATGGGCTATGCCTACATGTTCTTTGGCGAATCCCTTCACCTTCTTTCATCTAGTCCTCCCTGCCCCACTCCCCTCTATAGCTGTCAGTCTGTTCTATGTATCCATGCTTCTGTTTCTATTTTGTTCGTCAGTTTATTTTGTTCATTACATTCCACATATAAGAGATTTCTATACCAAACTATATATTAATCTTTATAAACTGATTATTTCATTGAAGTTGACATACTCTATTCCAATGATAATTTTTGACTATTATTACATTTGAGTGTATCCATAAAAAGCAACATATCATAAATGTTTTAAAAAATGCTGTTTATAAAGCCAAACTCTATAAAGCCTTTACATTTCAATTTTAACATCATATTTTTAGATATATATCCATGTTAATAAAAGTAGTTCTATTTTATTCAACTACTACATTGCTTTTCATTACTATATGAGTTACCACAGTTTGTGTATCTGTGAGTTTTGCCAAACATCTTTTATTAGATTACAGAAGATGATGTCTCCTGCTAAGACAAAAGTCAGGCAGGTCTATGTCCAGTATAAAAGAATTGGGTTTCATATGCTCAGGATTCCTCTCCCATAACACAGCACACTGCAGGTGCAGGTGTCACCCAGCCCTCTTCATGATGCCCTGTGAAAACTGGAAAATTAGAGTTCTTGTTTTTTCTGTTTGCACAAATTCAATCTGTGATCAACTCTTTTCTTCATGGGAGAATGGGAAGAATAGCTCACCTGCACTGGGGGTTTATTTTGGGAAATCTATTATTACTTAAGTTATGAGAATGTCTTTCCAGAAAGGATTGGAATTTACCTTTGTCAGACACATTCAAGGTATCAATAGATAGATATAGATTAACATTAATGATAATTTTGTAGCTTGGAGATTCCAAGCAGAAAACGTATATTCATAGTCTAAACCTACGCTAAATGAAAGCCCAAGATTTCTATTTTTCAAGTTAGATATTTTATTGACCTGGCCCAGATCCCCACAGAAATCAGTTTCCTTTCATCTTCTTGCATCTGTGAATATGTCTCCTGGTGAAGTCCTTCAGAGACTGAGCAGACTTCTAGGGAATCTAAGGTTTTGCAGGGGTCTCAGTTCCAATTTCCCACTTCAAAAGGGAACAAGTCCTGCCACGAAGTGGGCACAGCAGCCCAATCCCCAAGCAGAAGTAGCAGCAGCTCATTATTTAGTCTGATTTTTGGTACCACCTTCAGTTTAGGCACCATGGAGATTCATTTCAAGTGACTTTAAAAGGTTGCTAAAATGTTTGACTTCCCAGTTTCCAAAGAAGTTAACATTTGTCTTGCTCAGTTTCCCAAGAGTTTATTATTAATTATCACTATTAAGATTTTTAGTAAGTAGAAAAGAGATTTAAATATAGTTTTGGAAATAATGCAATAATGAGCTACTTTGCCTTTTTTTGTAAGAAGAAATAAAAACTTCACCTCTTATTTCTTTATTAGCCATGTTCCTGAAGGATACCATTAAATCCCATACTTACATTAAGCCACAAATCTGATTCTATCTACACATGTGCCTTTATTTTAATCGGTGACTATACAGTAAAAAAAACAAAACAAAAACACTAGAAAGGATTTATTATACTAAATTATTCACAATAGCAAATTTCATTTAGAAAGGTACCAGCGTTCCTACTATGGTACATGAGATGGGTCTTAAAGTTTTATTTGTTATAGAAACCATTTATTATAATGGCATTTACCATATTAGAATTTGTCCTGTATGTCATTAGCATTCTTTCCCATATAAATCAGTCTTCAACTACCTCATGGTAATATACGGTAGGACATTTTAACTTCAATAGGAAGTAATATTTAAGAATATGTTGTGTGAGTATAAAATTTTCTTATGATGTTTCTTATAAAATTGTTAATATAACAAATATAATAGAAAATTACCAGTGGTGACTCTGTAGTTTTTGAATCTTCAAAGTTTGGCTTCTTGGGAAGGTTGCTAAATTCCAAGGATTCTTTTATGTCTTGAGATAATTTCTCCTTAATGGGAGGTGTTTTTAAGTCTACATTTGGATAAGAATCCTTGCTCTCAAATGATATGCAGGAATTATCCAGCGTTTGATTACTTTCCATGTCTATTATACTTTTCTCTTTGTAATGTCTTTCAGAAAAGCTGCTTTCCCCTAATTTTTCAACAGCAGGAGAATAAACATCCGGATCCACATTATTGCCAAAATTTGTGTTTGAAGTTCCTGCTGTGGAAAACACACATTTATAAAAGTTAAATAAATAAATTTAAACAAATAAATTGATTAATCTGTTCATAAACCAACTCTTGTGTGGTGTGAACCTGTTTCAATAAACACCATTTTATCAACATTTCTTTACTGAGTTCTCAGTGTTTAAATACTATCACAGTTTTTGTTCCTAAATGATAATCATGATTTACTTAGGCATTCAAACCTTAATGAGCTGGAGACTAATGGAGTGAGGCAAGATTTTATTTTGTAATGAAATCTTGAAATTGATGCAAATTTTTATTCAGCCTGTGGTTCAATTCCCACTTGCCTACCTCCTCTCCCACTCAAGTTTTACAACAGCAATTTAAGAGGGAAAATGCAGAGGGAATCTTATTTCCACACTGCACCTCTTTTCCTTAGCATGCTGGCGATGAGAAGGGGGCAAAAGGAAAGCTGCCAGGTGGATGAGCAGCAGTTAGAGGCACAGGGGGTGTTTAAGCTGGACACCCGCCCGTGGAAAGCTACGAAATGAGCAAGAGTTTATTGGTCACCACCTCATCATGCCTGCTTTTAATAGATCACTTGGTTTAGATCATTGGTTTCAACCTGGCTGCACAATGGAATCCTCTGAAGGTACTTTTTAAAATTGTCAGTGTGTGGGCCTGACCCCAAACCAACCGAATCGGGCACTGGGAATGGGACTCAAGCGCTGTATTACCATTTGTTTGTTTGTTTGCTTGTTTGTTTGTTTGTTTTCCCTCTACCAAGTTCTCCAGGTGATTATAATGTGCAGCCCAGGCTGTGAAACATTGATCTAGATTTTCTGAAGAATAACAATTATTTAACAATTTTTACACCGCATTGCTTTCATTTTAAATAAAAACATGTATACCATTATCCAGATTCAACACAGCTTCATTCGATTATTCCTATTCTCTTTCCAGCATAAACAGCTTATCTCTATAGGTATACTGTGTAAAATAGTAGAGGCCATGACTAAAATAGCCTCCAGTGATGTAAATTCTGCCTTGCAGCCCAAAGGACTTGTTGCAATCAAATGTTGATACAGCTCAGCAATTACACATAGTATTTAGAACTTTCACTTCCAACAACTACCACCTCTTAAATTGCACAAATGTTACGAGAAATGCAACAACTTATATATCATAGAAATGCTTTTATAAGAAAAACTTCATAAAGGCTATTCAATTCAATAAAACTTCCACAATAATGCTGTGCTTTCCTTATAAACTTAAATAGAAATTATCTGATTTTGGGGGGGTAGAAATGCATGCCTTTTTGTTATATGTAAATGTCTGCAACTAACCTCTACAATGTTTATTCAAGGTGGCAAAAGTCCATTATTAGGATCTTTTGCTGTTGAAATGAGACAAAACAGCCATTTACTAATGTTTCAATGTGATGCAGAATATATAGGCATGACTTAACTTAGTCTATTCATCAGAAGCCCTGTTAAGTCATAAAAATTAGATATCTTGATTCAATACTCTTAAATCAATTTAATTTATAACATCAATAGGTTAAAGAAGAAAAATCACAGGATAATGTCAATAGATGCAGAAAACATGACAAAATCCAACACCCATTTATGATAAAAACTTTCAGCAAACTAGAAATAAAAGGAACTTCTCAACCTGATAAAAACTACAAAAAAACTATATAGTTCACATCACACTTAATGGTGAGAAACTAGAAGCTTTACTCCTAAAATGAGGAACAAGGCTAGGTTTTCCTCTTACCACTCCTTTTACAACATTGAACTGGATATTCCAGCTAATTAGTAAAACAAGAAAAGGAAATAAAAGTTATACAGATTGAGAAGAAACAAATAAATCTGATATTGTTCACAGATGATGTGGCTGTCTATGTACAAAATCGAAAAGAATAAATAAAAATAAAAATAAAACTCCTGAAACTAATAAGTGTTTATTGCAAGACTGCAGGATACAAGGTCAATAGACAATAATCTATTCTGTATACTAACATGAACAAGTAAAATTTGAAATTAACACAATATAATTTACGTTAACATACAAAAAATGAAATACTTAAGTATAAATCTAACAATATATAGACAGATCTCTATGAGTAACACTGGAAATCTCTGATAAAAGAAATCAAAGAATGCAAGAAATATATAGTCCATGTTCATGAATAGGAAGCTTCAATATCATCAAGATGTCAGTTCTTTCCAACTTGATCCATAGACACCATGCAATCCCAATAAAAATCTCAGCAAGTTATTTTGTGGATATTGATAAGTTGATTCTAAAGTTTATACTGAGAGACAAAAGACCCAGAATAGCCTACAAAATATTGAAGAACAAAGTCAGAAAACTGACACTATCCAACTTCAATAATCACTGTATCACTACAGTAATGAAATCAATGTGGTATGAGCAAAAGCATAAAAAACAGATCAATGGAACAGAATAGTGAATCCATAAATAGACCTGCATAAATACACAAATACAGTCTGCTGATCTTTGACAAAAGAGCAAAGGCAATACAATGGAGAAAAGACTGTGTTTTCAACAAATGGTGCTGGAACAACTGGACCTCCACATGCCCCCAAAGTTAATCTGGATACAGACCTTACAAAAATGAAAGACAGACCTAAATGTAAACTACAAAACTATAAAACTCCTAGAATGCTGGAGAAAATATAGGTCATATTGGGTATCATGAAGACTTTTTTCAAACAAAACACCAAAGGCAGGATCCATGAAAGAAAATATTGAGAAGCTGGACTTTGCTAAAATTAAAAATGTCTGTTCTGTGAAAGACACCACCAAAAGAATAAGACAAGCCACAGACTTGGAGAAAATATTTGCAAAATATGTATCTGGTAAAGCACTGTTATCCAAAATAACAAAAAACTCTTAAATCTCAACTGTAAGAAAATGGACATCTCAACTAAAAATGGGCCAAAAACCTCAACAGACACCTCACCAAAGAAGAGATATTGATAGAAAATAAGCATATGAAAAGATGTTCAACATCATAAGCCATTAGGAAATTGAAAAGGAAAACAATGAAATACCACTACACAATTAATAGAATGGCAAAAATCTGAAACACTGGCAACATCAAATGCCGATGCGGATGTGGAGAACAGGAACTGTCATTCATTCCCAGTGGGAATGCAAAATGGTACAGCCACTTAGGAAGACAGTTTACAAAACTAAATATATACTTAACATATGATCCAGCAATCACACCCCTTGGTATTACCCAAATGAGCTGAAAATGTAAGTCTAAACAAAAACCCACACATAGATATGTATAACAGCTTTATTCATAATTGCCAAAACTTGGAAGCAACCAAGATGTTTCTCAATAAGTGAATGTATAAATAAATTGTGGTACATTCAGACAAAGAATTTCAGCACTAAAAAAAAAAAAAAAAAA